GCTGCAGTGTTACTGCCGGGTTGGGCAAACGAGGAAAGCGGTAGTTGGGTGGTATGGGGTACCCGGGAAAGCCAGGAGGAGATGGATGAGAAGGAGAAAAAGAAAGTGATTGTTTGGAGCTGTCAGGGAGAAAGCTGGTCAAATTGGGAGCAGCTAAAGTATTGCTGCAAATAAGTTGTAAAGTTAAAATAAAGAAGAAGTTGTAAAAACATTTTTGAAATAAAAAATTCATGTTTTTGCTTAGCATTCAGTTTTTGGTAATTTTTTCTATTGTACTAAAAACATATAAATGCAAATGAAAGTAGATTTATTTTTAAAAAATAATGTTTGTGCAATTTTTTTGACAAATGCACAAAAACCTTGATCAAAAATAAATTTCAAATCATAATTTTAGTTTTTAATTAAAAAATGAGTAAACTAAACTAATTTATAAATAGGGTCTTTTGCTAAATGGTTTTAAATTAACTGATTTTGCAAACTTTATATTGCATTCAAACAGTCAAATTTTTAACTTGGCTTCTAGAACAACTTAAATTTTTTTACATTTACAATGCCAATAAAATCCTTAATTAAACAAAGTAAAAAATTTATTTTGAGATCAAAATATGTACAAAAATAGTTAACACTTGTAAGATTTTCAAACAAAATCCCTTTTAAAATGTTGCTTCAGTTTTCTGTACTGTTATTAGAAACTCCTTTTACATGAATGTTTGACTCACGATTTTCATATGCATAAAACCCGTTGAAATCAATTAAAATGCTGACCAGAGTGTCCGCAAATCCACTGTAAAAAATTTAAATTTAAGTAAATAAACTGATGCTGTAATTTTCATTGTAGTTAATAAAGTGGTACCTAGATAGAAGGTCTTCAATGTAAATTTGCTTTGATGTAGCCGGGCGAACCATGTCGAAGATTTCATTGCAAAAATCGGCAAAATCAATTGGCTCTTGACCTTGTAGTTTCATTTGGTTTTGAATTGGCTTAAAAAAGTACCGCAAAACAAAGTCATCAATGTATTTTGTGGAATTGATGTCGAGTATGTGAAAGAAGAAGTAAATTGACTGAAGTTCTTTACGATTTTCCAATGCAAGAATAATGTCAATAAAAGTTTTAAAATCCTGCAAACAAAAAAAAATTAAATCTTTATAAACTTTTAAATACAAGCACATGACTCACAATTTCTCTATTGTAAGTCATACAAACTTCAAAAAGTCGATCGACAAAGGCCTCAGTAAAGTTGCCGTATTTTAAAAACTCTAAAAGTGTTTTATATTTAAAACAGTTTACTCTTTGATTTATTGTATCAGAAGTATATTTTACCTGATTTACTAAGCATACCGTTGTGATCTAAATCTAAATTTAAGTAAATGTTGTACAGACGAATGGTATTTGCTACAGAGAACCAGTTGTACTCTTCTCGTGTTCTAGTAGTTTGTTCATTTCGCAGTTCGAGCAGCTCATCAAGAAAGCCTGAACAGAGAATATCGGTGATCTTGACTTTGTTGTACTTTAGTGGGTCGAGAAAAAAGAAAAACTTTCTCACAGCAATACACGTGTAGAACTGATAGTACGAGGTGTCTAGTTGTTTCAGCTTTAAATTTAGGTTAGTTCAAAACAACCTTTACTGCAACTCAACTTACTTTAGATAGTGTAGGAATAAGCTCTTTGATGTAATTCTCGAGTTCCTAAATGAAAAGAATTTTTTTATTAAACAACAATTTGGAAAAAATGTGACGTACATATTCGTAAAGCGTTCCGTTGCCACTTGAGTCCCAAAGTGATAGGGCGGCTCGTGCCTGTTGCATCCAGATCTTGCGAAGTACATAATTGAAAAAGGTCAAGATGGCCACTCCGTCACTGTTCCCTTGACTCAGTCGGGCAAAGACTGTCGGAGTGAAAAATGAACTAAGTATAGAACAAAATGTTAATCCAGCACAACTAGAACGTAAAACGAATTTACCGAATCTTATAAGATGAGTTAAATGACTGTGCGATCTCCTTAAACTCCAAGTAGTTTATCTTTTGTTCACGGTAAATATCGAGGGGTTGTGGCGCGGACTTTTCAAGTAGCGCCCATAATTGCTAGAAATTACAAAAAAGTTCATGTGAGTGACCATATCCACCGACCATCAATTTTACCTGAAGCTCATCGTTCTCAATCGATTCTTTACTTAATTTTTCTAAAAATATAGATCTGGAGAAGTTTAATTTAGTAATATGTAAATCAAGTGCATTTTTCTTCCACAAACCTTGCCTGTTGATTCGCCTTGTCTTTTTTTTCGTAAAACTTGGGAATGACCTTCATAAACAAGGCAGTTTCATTCCCGATCGAGCCATTTTCCCCAACCTTGTCTTCCATCTTTTACTTTCAAATAACTAGATAACGCTATCAGAAATATCGTTTACTCACAGTTGAATTCGGTCTTGTCAAAGCGTCTTAGAAAGATACAAACAAAATTGTTCACACGTACTTTACGAACGAATCTTTACATCTCAAAACAACAAAAATCGAGTGCTTTCACTTTTTTAAAAAGTTACCTGCTTCAAGCTTTACCTTGTGCCGATTGTTTTTTGAAAAAACATCATCTTGTTTTAAGATGGCTCCGGTAGTTAGTATTCCCGCAAACAACAAGCTCGGTCCAGAAAAGCCCAAAAAGCCCGTTGAGCGCAAGTGAGTTTTGGTGGCGGTCAATTCCATCTCCAAGTTACTTTATTTATTGTCTTTATAATTGCAGGTCTGAGCTCATTTGCCGGGTCAAGTACAGTAACACTTTGCCTGACATTCCGTTTGATCCAAAATTTATCTCTTATCCTTTTGACACAAACCGGTAAGAACTATTCACTGCTTGATTTTTGTTTCGTTAAAAGTGACCATTTTATTTTTTAATAGATTTGTTCAGTACAAGCAAACTTCATTAGAGAAGAACTTCAAACATGACTTGCTAACTGAACTTGATCTTGGCGTAAACATTGATTTGATCAACCCGGACACATACGAGCCTCCTGAGCAAGGAATTCTAAAAATTGACGAAGAGGATGACAGACTTCTCGAAGATGAAGTCACTGCGCCAACAGACACTAAACGCTCTCGATGCCACAATCGAACTGTCACCTGGTTGAAAAAGACTGAATACATAGCTACTGAATTCAATCGTTATGGTACCAGCAATGAAAAGACAGAGACAAAGTATGTATTCACTAATTCATAAGCTGTTGCCTGTTTAACACCCATTGAATTCTTTCCTTTCATTAGAGTCGGATTTGGAGTCAAAAAGAAGATGGATATGATTGACTATGTCGGTAGAGATGGCCAAATTTCTGCTGTTAGCCGAACATTTGAGGCAGCCAAGAAGCCAATCGTTGCGCATCCAGAAAAACCCGGCGTTAAACCGGTGGAAATTATACCTGTCTTTCCAGATTTTGATCTGTGGAAGTATCCATTTGCTCAAGTTATGTTTGATGCTGAACCATACAAAAGTGAAGAGTACATGTCAGAGGCAGTGTTGCGAGGTCAAACTGGTGACAACGTTGTCATGTACTTTGTGCCAACTGAAGCAACATTGGAAAAGCGAAAAAAAGACGAAGAGGAGGGACGTGATTACATCTGGGAGGAAGAGTACGAGTACATAAAGGCGCACGAATATAATTGCAAGATTACAAATACTCATACTCATAACAAAAAGGAGTTAATCGAAAACTACTTCTTCATATGGCGCGACAATGAGGTGGTCTACAATGAACTGGAAACGCGCATTAATCTCACTAAACGACGTGTGAAGCAAGCCTCTCAAGGAGTCTCTTTGCTGGCGATAAAGCACCGAGAGCTAAATGAGACGGAGGATAGCTGCTTTTTAACTCGCCTGGAAAAGATTGAACCGAAAAAGAAGAAGGAAGAGATAGAGGCTGAAGAGAAGGCCAAGGCTGAAAAGGGCAAAGACGAACGGGAGAAGGAAGAGGACGTGGAGATGAAGGATGCGGACGAAGAGAGGGGTGCCCATAATGAAGAGGAGGACGAGGATGAGGACGATGGCCTGGACAGCGTGAACAGTGACGATGACAAGAGCTCCAGTGAGAAGGACGATAAAAGCGATGAAAGCGAAGACGAGTCCGACTCTGAGGCGGAAGTGTACCGAAAGAAGAAGGGCAGCGAACAGCACTCCTCCAAATCACGAGTGCAGCCGAAGTCTCCGGTGAAGAGCGACAGCGAAAAGTCCTCTTCCTCAGCCGCCTCTTCCGCTGCCTCCGCCTCTTCATCATCAAGCTCGGAATCGGAGGGAGGGCTTCCTGCCTCGAGCAGTGACGACGACGAGAATGGAGGTGACAGTCAGCGGCAACGACAACGCGAGCAGAAAAAGAAGGGCAACAAAAAGATAACTGACATCTTCGGCGACAGCGGCAGCGGCAGCGACAACAGCAGCGACAACGGCAGCGACTAACCACCGACCATAAACGCTCTAATTTACTTGCTCTACAATGAAACGTTCTTATAGACACAAACACACATCCAAAGTTCGTTAAAAATGTCATTTGATTCNAACCACCGACCATAGACGCTCTAATTTACTTGCTCTACAATGAAACGTTATTATAGACACAAACACACATCCAAAGTTCGTTAAAAATGTCATTTGATTCTGCATTTCCTTTCTTTCATTAACTACAAAACATATACAGTCTTAAATTACAAGATCTTCACTTTTTCTTGGAGATTTGCGTCATTGCCGCCGCCGTGCTGGTCGTCGCCCGCTGTCCACTGAGCACCACATAGGGCGCCTTTACCTCCTTTTGCTTATCCTGCAGCAACTTCAGCGTATTCAGCGGCGTGTCAATGGAGCTCATCTGGCGAAGTTTCTGTAGGGCAAATTAAAAACAAAAATGACAGTGAGAATCACAAGGTAGATAAAAGGGGAGAACTCGGCGGTGGTGACTTACACTCTCCTGCTCCATCTTCTTCATGCGCTTGTCAATCTTATTCTTGCCGGGGCCCTTGCCGTGGAACTTGTGCGAAAGGTAGCGGAAAGCCTCCTTCTGGTTCATCATGCGGCCCTTTTCATCGACGTAGTCGAGCTTGAAGCCAGGCCGGTAGCCCTCCTTCTCCTTGAACTCCGACATCTGGCCCATGTAGCGGTCACGGCGACCCATGCGGTCATCGTCACTGGGTGGAAAGAGAAAGAGAACGCGGTTACGGTACTGGAAAACAACGACACAAATCAAATAGGACTTACTAGAACTTTTCCTCGATTGCGTAGGACTGCGCCGAGATGAGACTCGTCGATCGATTCGTCCCCATCGGCTTCTTTGTGTCCTTGTCCAGGTAGCCCTTGTTCATCGCTAGCTTTAGCGCACCCGCCACGCCCACGCTGACATCGGGCTCCTCCTCGAGAATGGGCTTGCTCTCCAGTGGCTCCTCATCGTCCGGAGATTTGGTGGCTTTTCGACGAGAGTAGCTTGATCCAACTCCTCCTCCATCATTGTCATCGTCTTCGTCATCGTCCTCCTCCATCTTAATGTCCACCTCGTTCCAGTTGTTGCGAACTGGGACCTTCTCGCCGTCCTCGTCTAGGTTCTCGTCATCTTCACCTTCCCCATCCCAAAGGTCACCCTTGAGGCCGTCGGCTTCATCCAGGTCCATCCGCTCCGAAGTTCTCCTATGTCTACTGCCATCAAAGTCGCCATCTTGGTGGCGGTGGTGGGGGGCGTCCTCGTCGTCACTCTCGTCGATCTTCATCTTCGAGGACTGCGCCAACTCACGGGAGTAGAGGTCCTTCGGCAGATCGCCCAGGTTGCGACAAAACTCGGCAGTAGTGTTGAGCACCAGAGTGCTGCCGCCGTCCAGGGCGCTGGCAGCCGACAGTTCCTCCTCATCCTCGTCCTCCACCTTCACCGTGCCGCCCGTCTCCTGAACGATCCGCGCAATGTCAAAGTCGTCTTCCTTTTTCTGCAAAAGCTTCAGCTTTCGCGTTTTATTAAGCGCCATCGAGAGCTCCTTCTCCGCCTCGTCCTCCTCGATGCGGACGCCGATCAGCTCTTCATCAGGTGCTATGAGATCAAGGTCTAGCTCATCCTCCACCTCCTCCTCCAGACCGCTCTCAAGTTCAGCCAGTTTGACGTGAACCTTCTTAGCCTCATCAGCTTCGTTTGATGAATGTTTGTGCTCTCGACCAGTGGTCCGCCTCGACCGTGATGCGTGGTCAGATGTAGACCGTCGGGAACTGCTGTTGCTGGTCGCTGAAATCACCGGCACCAAAGGCTCCTCTTTAGGCTCTTTCAAGTTTCGCTTCCGCAGAGTGCCCTTTCGTTTGGGCTTTTTGAACTTCAGCATCTCATCGGCAGTGTAGTATTCGCTGGCGATTTTAAGCTCCGGCAGCGCTAAAGAGACCTTTCCCAGGGCTTCATTCTCCTCTAACCTCTGGCGAACAATCTCCGCATTTGAGAGCGTCTCTCCGATCCGAAAGATGTCCTTCTTTGGACCTTCAATCTCTTCGTCATACTTGCTCAGCAGAGAGGACTGCTTCAGTGATCCAAACTCATCAAACTCCTCGTCATCGTACGGCCGGTAGTTGACCTTGTTTTTCTTGTTTTCAATATTCTTTGCCGCCTTTTCATTGTCAAGCAGGTTGACATTCTCCAGAACGTCCTCGTCTTCGTCCAGCACACCTTTGTCACGCAGTGTAAGGATCACCTGGTGGCCCTCCTTGATGGAGTCCACCTTGTGTCCGATAGCGAGTCCTTTTAGGTCCTTGCTGGTGTAAGCGGCCGCACTGCTGGTCGCCGCCCGATGTCCACTGGACCCCTTTACCTCCTTTTGCTTATCTTGCAGCATTTTCNTTTTTCTTGTTTTCAATATTCTTTGCCGCCTTTTCATTGTCAAGCAGGTTGACATTCTCCAGAACGTCCTCGTCTTCGTCCAGCACACCTTTGTCACGCAGTGTAAGGATCACCTGGTGGCCCTCCTTGATGGAGTCCACCTTGTGTCCGATAGCGAGTCCTTTTAGGTCCTTGCTGGTGTAAGCGGCCGCACTGCTGGTCGCCGCCCGATGTCCACTGGACCCCTTTACCTCCTTTTGCTTATCTTGCAGCATTTTCAGAGTATTCAGTGCTGCGTTTCAATGAAGCTCATCTGGCGTAGTTTCTGAAAATAAATGTGATAATGAAAATAAAAGGGTAAGCAAATAACTCGGTGGCGACTTACACGTTCCAGAATCTATCGTCTTCAATCTCTTGTCAATCTTTCTTATTTTCGTCAGAGTCTTTGCCGTGGAGTTAGTTTTGTGTCGTGCCGCACAAAAAGCCGCTTTCACAGAGGACGGCAAAGCACTGGCAAAGCTAGAAATGCAGCCCCCAACGACCACCACCGCTGCTCCTTTCCACTGAAGAGGTGACAAAACATCAACAACAGATGACTTGCTGCCGGCAGCAGCCAGCCGCATCATCATCATTTCATCAGTCACCTTTTTGTTTCATTTTAGAAATCACCTCATTCAGCACAAAATCCCTACCTCCACTTTTCATCAAACAGCATGTTCACACGCTCCCGTACCTTCTTCAATCGCCTTCAGTCGGCTGACCTGCAGCTGATGAAGAGCGTCAAAGACCGGCTCCTGGTGCCGGCCATCACATCGTCTGATTCCGCTCGAAATCTCAACCTGGTGCCCATCGTCGTGGAGCAGACGGGCCGAGGCGAACGCTCCTACGACATCTACTCCCGTCTTCTTAAGGAGCGCATCATCTGCTTGATGGGTCCAGTCAATGATACACTCGCCTCAGTGGTGATTGCCCAGCTNTGGCGAACGCTCCTACGACATCTACTCCCGTCTTCTTAAGGAGCGCATCATCTGTTTGATGGGTCCAGTCAATGATACACTCGCCTCAGTGGTGATTGCCCAGCTGCTCTTTCTGCAGTCGGAGAGCAGCAAGAAGCCCATTCACATGTACATCAACAGTCCTGGTGGGTCGGTGACGGCCGGACTGGGCATCTACGACACCATGCAGTACATCCTTCCCCCGATTGCCACCTGGTGCGTCGGCCAGGCCTGCTCAATGGGAAGCCTTCTGCTGACGGCGGGCGCCGCCGGCATGCGTCACTCGCTGCCCCACTCGCGCATCATGATCCACCAGCCCTCTGGTCAGGCTGCCGGCCAGGCGACCGACATTCAGATCCAGGCGGCGGAGATACAGAAGCTGAAGAAGCTGATCAACGGCATCTACGTGAAGCACAGCGGCCTGCCCCTGGAAAAGGTGGAGGCGTACATGGAGCGCGACATGTACATGAACCCCGAGGAGGCAAAGGAGCTCGGCCTCATCGACAACATCCTCTCCAGACCGGTTAATGGTAGCAGTGGAAAGGCCGAGGACGGCGCCGACAAGCAGCCTGCCACCGCCACCACCACCGGTGCCTGAGAGCTTTAGTTTTAAATTTGTGTTGCCCTAGCACATGTTTTTGTATAATGATATACCTTTCCTCTATATTTTTCGCCTGTTCATTCACGGCTGTTATAGTGGCCCACTAAACACATAGAACTCACCAGTGCACCCCTTTTGCCTTCCCATTGATGTGCATTCATGTGTCGGCGATTACTTTTGATTATTACTCTAATCATCCTTATTGATGGTGAAAATGAAAGGGTTCAACGCTGGTGTGTTTGGCAGCTGAAAGTCGATAGTCCCTATACATTGACGCGTCATGTCACCAAAAAATCCTGGGCTGGTCTATTACACACACACTGAAAGTGGTGCGACAGTCAACCAAGTAAGACGCCACTCTGAAGAGTGGTGATTAATGTAAGGATATTGTTCTTTCGTAGTAGAATGCACTGTTTCGCCATTAAATGCCTTACAAGTTGAATTGATATGCCAGGCAAATCTGTCTCTACTCACTGCCAATACTATAATTAGAGAGAAAAAGAAAGAGACAGCATATGATCCACAGTAAGTGCACCGACCATTTGACGCATCCATTTGGAGCCAATCTAACTGCTGCTGATGCTGCTGCTCCTACCGCCTCACCATCATTGATGCGCCCATTCATGTAATTGCCCCTTGTCAGTCGCTGCTAATCTCTTCTCTCTTTTTTTGGAACAAAGTTTGTCAGCAAATGACTGCACTGACTCTTCACCTCTTCGCCAAATCAGCCGGGGCGTAGCCTTTCGAAGGGAAGAGCTAATTAATGAATTAATACTCACTGTGCATAGGCTGTGCTTTGGAGCAGCAGCAGCTTTATCGCCATTAATCACCAGTCACACAGTCTCGAGTCATTGCTGGCCAACAATAATTATAACTGTTCCTCTTAACTCTCAGTGAATGGTAATTTATCGATGGATGAGTTGCTGTAATTACTGACCACAGTGGCGCAGCTTCAGCATCACTGGCCAAAAGTCTGCAGTCAATCAGAGAATCGAGAGAATCAAGCAAACACACACACACAGAATCGAACACAGAACTGTGCTTCTCGAGTCAACTGCGTCTATTGCTCGAACAGTGCAACATTTCCAATGAGAATCGATCAAGATTAATGAGCGCCAAATTAAGAGTGACTGTGCAAATTATTCGAGCAGCAACGCCAGCAGATTGGCTCAATTTGCTGGAAAGGCGATTCCCGCGGAGAACGCAATGGAACCTTTTTGGTGTTTGCTAGTTGGAGCACTGCTCTCTCTCTCTCTCTCTTCCAATCACAATCATTGCAATGATTCTCTATCTCTGTTTGCAAGTGTGTGTGTGTGTGTGCCAATTACCAGTCAGTTTGGCGTCACCGAGCTGAAGAGTGCTGGAAACTGCATCACCGTCTCTACTCCACTCATTTTGCTGGTGAAACGCGTGCGACCAATTGCAAATTAATTACTGCCAAATCTAATTTAAAACACTCAACCCACTGCGGGGAGAATGTGTTTGTGTGTATGTGAAGATGAAGATGAAGATGGGAGCTCTGATTTGGAAAGAGGGAGAAACAGACAGAGAGAACCGAATTGCTCTCCTGTGTCAATTGGCACGTGAACGGATGCCAAGTAATCGAGAGGCTCTAGTGGAGGATGCTTCTGCTGCTTATGTTGCTGCTGTTGTGCTGTCTGCTCTGACTGTGTGTCCTGGACAACATCGCCACTTCTCTTTGCTCTGGCCTTGTGCTGTCACACTTTGGCCCCGTTAGTTGTCCACTCAGCGGGATATCGGTGCAAATTGACAATACGCTGAAGGAGAGAGAAAGATGGCCCACTCTCTCTCCCGACACCCGCACTCTGGTGGGAAATAGTAGGCTGCCCACTGCTACCATTGACGAATGTGCCGGGTTGCCCAAAGTTTCAGTGAGTACTAATCGCACTGTGACTTGTGACATGTGCCACACAGCAAGAGAATCGATACTAAAGAGAAGAGGACTGAGGCTACAGCTACGCTGGCACGACTTGACACGATTTCATTTTACTGCTTCCCCTTAGCGAGAGATTGGCGATCCTTTCGGTGATGACCTGCTGTTCCTGCTGCCCTTTCTGCCGCTGCACCGACATTAATCGTCACTTAATTGGCCCATAATAGAGCGGTCACCAGCGGGCACACTATTAGATTGAGTGTTGTGTAAGTGTGAGAGCACCTCTTTAATCTAATAATTTATTAATTGTGATTATTCGACGAGGTAAAGTGTCTGGGAAAATCAAAGTTATAGTAAAGCAAGGTACATCAGTGCGACGAGGTAGGCAAAAAGCAGCACCAGAAACGGAGCATTTAGCTGGCAAATCTCGCAGTGCAACTGTCTGAAGAATCCAATGAGCACATTTGAGGAAGATGCTAGTAGTAAAGGTAGTGGTGGTGGTACTGGTTGACGTGGTGATAAAGGTTGTGAAGGCGGTGGTAAAGGCGGCACTACCATTTCCACAGACGAGTTCGTCGTTGTTGCATTTGCCTGAGGACTGCTGTTCAGCAACGATCCGCTGGACACTCTGAGCGGCAGTCGAAGCACCTTGTTAGGACCACTGTAGAAGTCCTCCTCTTCAACGGGCACCACTGTTTCATCGTCTTCCTCCACAGTGACAGTTAGCGGTGGTGAAGATGGTGTGGGTTGTGGTTGTTGTTGCTGCTTCTCTTGCCTTTCCTTCTGGTGCCCCCTCTTTGGTTCTTCCTCATCTTCGTCCTCCGCCACCTCGTCCAGTACAATGTCCTCGGGGTCGCTGTCAACGTGGCTCATTCTGATTGTTTTACTGACTTGGATTGAGTGTTAGTGAATTTTAGAAAAAACTAAAGTGATTTTTCTCTATTTCTAGCATTTATCATTACAATTAAGTTCGATTGTGAAGTTAGCCAAAAATGTTAGAACTTGGTGTGCACACTCTGTATTGCCACTAATTATAGTGAAAGCAGCCCCGAAAAGCAAAGCAGAGCAACTCTAATGACAGCATCTGAATTAAAACTGCCGATTTCTGTTCATTACATTACATGTTCACTTTCTCCCTTTTTAGCCAATTTGGCCATCAGCTTTGAAAGTGGAGACCAGTTCTGGAGAAGAGGCAGAAGGCACACAGTTAGCAAACAACACAGTTAGCATTTGGCCAAGTAGTATATTGTTTCAGCGCGTCTCGAATGATTTAGCATAAGACAACAACATAAATATAAATAAATAGAGACACACACTGGTCGTTGTCATTTGTGTTTGCCCGTTTCCTTATTAACGAACGGGTGGGGGAGACGGCGGCAACAGCAAGAAGAGACCAGTTGACCGTTGGTGCGGCACAAATGAACAGTAATGATGCACTGCTGCACTGTTCTCTCTCTCTCCTAATTGTCGCCGATTAATTTTCGACAGAAGAAGGGGAAAAGGAGGAGGAGAACACAGTAGTGCATCTCTAACTTCTCTCCCCCTCCTGCTTGCGTCCACTCCCGCATGGAGGCCATAATTTAGCAGATTAAATTACTGAAATGGCTGCTGCAACATATTGAGCGGCCAACAAAGGGCCTTCGTTTCAGTCCGACTGTCTCTCTAGTCGCGTTCCATGTTTTTGCTTTAACTTTGTGTAAGCATAATTTGCTATAAATTAGCAATGTCATCCCATGATTAAGCGAGCGCGTAGCTTAAATTGTTTCTTCATTCGTGTATTTACACACACACAGCCAAAAAACAGACACATTAACGCCGATAAATTACAGCACTTTGGCACTGTATCGCAGCGCGGCCACTCTCCAGCTAATCCGACCCTTGTAGTGCTGTTTCAAGTGTCGATTTTGCTGTCAGTTTTTCTGTGTGTGTGTTTGAGGCTAGGCAGCAGACCGTTGATTCTTTTAGCCAACTAAACGTTTCAAAAATGCTTGACTCTGGACACCATATGTGGTGGCGGCCAATGGTTCTGGTCAGTTAGCTTGCCGGGCTCAAGCCTGTTCATCGTACGCTTACTGGCAAGTCACTAAATGCTAATTAACCAATCACTTGTCCAATTGCTGACTGCTGCTTCTGCTGAGGGTGCACATCACTGCTTCTCTTGTGGCAGAAGGCTGCAAGCTGGAGTGTGCTGAGGGTGCCCCTAGGGCCCCTTGGTCAACAAGGCAGATTGTTTCTTTTCAGTGCTTTTGACACAAGCCTACTATTTGCCAATTTGTAAATTGTATCTCTCTCTCTCTCTCTTTTGTTCTAAAATGACATTCAATTTTGTGCTTCATTGGCAATTGGATAGTGCGTTTCAAATGAAGTCTTTTTTGCCGCAGTTGCAACCAGAGGCCAATTACTATTTATTTGCACAGATACCAATTAGTCGGTAGTCAGCAGTAGTAGATAATGAGATGTGTTAACTTGACACTGGTGCCCGGGCATGCCCTTTTCCAGTTTGCCCCAACCACGGTACAAATTGATTTTACTCGATTTGTTAAGTAATAGACATTGGAAAAACATGCTCTTTACCAGCGTACACCAACTGATATTTAGTTGAGCAATCGGGTACAAATAACCAAATTAGTTGCACCAACAAAACTACAACCGCTAAAAATGGTACAAATCACCCACCACTAATTGAAACATACTGAGAATCGAATCAGACCGTCCTCTCACGGTCCATTTTTGCAAGTCATTTTAGCCACTTTGAGGCAGTCACGGTGTGAAGTGTGTTTGCTAGCGTCGTCAGGCAGTGCATCTGCACTAATTACCGAGCAGTAGAGTCCACGGTTGTGTTANGTTGAAACATACTGATAATCGAATCAGACCGTCCTCTCACGGTCCATTTTTGCAAGTCATTTTAGCCACTTTGAGGCAGTCACGGTGTGAAGTGTGTATGCTAGCGTCGTCAGGCAGTGCATCTGCACTAATTACCGAGCAGTAGAGTCCACGGTTGTGTTAGAGTTCATTTACCAGCAGCCTTATTGTCTGCAGCAACTTCAATATAACCCCTATAATAGATGATGGAACGATTAATAATCATTACGAGCCCGTTTGC